AATTTTTAAATAAATAATGGAAACTACTGTTATATATACGCATATTTTATTTCAGTTTCATTTCGTGAGTTACAGTGCGTTAAATTTTTTAAATATCTAATTTATAATGTGTCGTAATAAGTTTATAAGCGTGTAATTAAAACAAAATAGTTGTGACCTTAAGCATATATAGTCAGATAATATTTTAGTTCGAAACGATTTTCTAGTTTTAGATTAATCCTTTAATCCTTAATGATTTCTATTAAATGAACATTTCCGATCACAAATAAAACCATTAACAGCAATCCACATACAAAAATAGGACTTTTTACACTAATTTTCTTACATTTAACATATTATGAACAATGAACAGGAAGCAAACATGCAAGCAATGAGTCTATGCTAGCATATAATTTATTGCATTCTGCTCAAAATTCAGTCAAGACTTGAAATATAGCTTTAGCAAGCGACATTAATTGCTTACTATCTAATTACAAACAGTTCTTACCACCGTAAATCAAATTAGTTTATAAATATTTTAAATTTGTAAGTATAAAATGATAATAATCGTTATTTTACATTGAATAAATTTATAACTTACTGTTGTATAAAACACTAAGAATGTATATTTTACGGCTAGGTTCTTTTAAACGTCGTATGTAATGTATGAAATAAAATGACATTCAATGTGTGTGATAGCAAAATTCGTTATTCTTGTTTTGTGTCGTGGGTATCGTAAACGGTAAATTTGGAAAGAACTAGAAATATCCCACGGTCAGATAATGATTTGATTAAACTATATAAAAATATCATGACTGCTCATTAAAGGAGCTTGTGACATGGGAGAATTGTAATCCAATTTAATAATGCGATAGTCAATAATACGCTTGATAATGATAACGATGAATAAAAAAAGAATATTAAACAAAAATAAATTCTAGTAACGCTATTAACTTTACTGCTACTCCAATTAACCACTCCAAGTTTAAAATGCTTGTGCTAGGAGCGGTTCACGACGGTAATAATCAAATGGCGGGTTCAAGCCACGACTTAAAGATTTTGCGGAAAGTCGTGGTAATTAATTATCTGTAGCTAGACTTCACAAATTTAATGAAGTTTTTAAATAAAATATTTCGAAAATTTTTACACTTTGAAATGATATTTTGATAGAGAAATATGAGAAAGAATAAATGTATTATATACGCTATCAGTATCTAATTTATCTATAAAAATACACAACTTTCATATCTACAGTAAAGCAGATATTTCAAAATGGGCCGGGTCTATTTACACTAACTCAGCAATAAGAGAAAATTTTTTAGAATTTGGGAAAAAATACAGATATTTTATTTAAATGTATCCTGTCGTGGCTAACAATTCATGTTTATATTATATACGCTATCAGTATCTAATTTATCTATAAAAATACACAACTTTCATATCTACAGTAAAGCAGATATTTCAAAATGGGCCAGGTCTATTTACACTAACTCAGCAATAAGAGAAAATTTTTTAGAATTTGGGAAAAATATAGATATTTCATTTAAATGTATCCTGTCGTGGCTAACAATTCATGTTTATCAATTATTTTTATCGACTTTCAACATGGCGTCCATGGAGGTTAGATGCTAATATCATGGTTGAATTCACATAACATACAGGAGGAACAAGCAAACAGAGCTAATTAAATTAGCAGAATCACCGCGATGATCATGTCAAACAACTATTTCTACATCAACTAGACATTATTAATAGTTAACTGTTAACACATTTGGCATATCTAGCACACCGTTAGAATATTCTTTAACATTTATACAGGCAATGATTTTGATGAAAAAACACGTGAGGTAATATACATTATCAGTTATGTATAATTTTATAAAATTAAATTGAAGCATGTTTAATACCACTTATTCACAGCTTTAAACCTAATTGCATTTTCGTTAATTATATGTATAGTATTAATGTTGATATAATAATGAGTACAGCTATCATAATTATCAATTTAATACAATATTCACGTTAGTTCATTGTGTATAGATACAATAAATGCTTTATTTTGTTTTTATACGTAGTAGAGCCAAGCTGCAGCAAATACCCGTGCAAGTATACTCATGTAAAACAGCAGCTTTATACTTTACTACATATTCGAAATTTGCTATTTTAACGTTCATTTAAGTTGAAAAATATAAAATTAATCTCGTTTTTTTAGTCATTGAATATTCTAAAAACATTAAGTAATGACATCTTTATTAATTGTTAAATTTGTATATGTCGCGGTAAGATAGATAAATCCGTAATATAGTTATATCCCTAGGGATATAATTATATACCGTAACATAATTATACGAAAGTAATTCTTTACTATCTCACTAGGAATATAGTTATAAAACGATCCAAGTTTAGTGATATACTTATATTACTAGATGAAGTTTAGTGAAATAGCTTTCGGAGTGTGCGGCGCATGCGGCGCGCCGCCTCCCCCGCGACGGGGGAGGGGTTGGTTGTGTTTACGCGCTCCCCACTCCGCAGTCAGTCGGCCGAGAACAGTTGTACGGCGTTCAAGTCTAGTTTTCGTGCATGTTCATTTAATTATAGCTACGTTTCCTTAATATTTGTTATATATTCGTTTTATCATTGCTAATTACTTGTGCCAGCTATGGATAAAGATGAAGAAATTAATGCAAGGCGACGTTTTGAACAGGAACTTCGTCTATTTTACAATGCGAGATGCAAATACCAGAGTGGACGCGGCAGAGAATAAGTAACTTAGTAAGTTAACTTGCATCAACCGTCATCTTCATCAGCAGCACCAGAGCCTATTGAAACCTGCGACTGTGACTTGCATGTTGCATCTGTTAACTTGCAACAACCACCATCTTCATCAGCAGCGCCAGCGCATATTGAAACCCGCGATTGTGACTTGCCTGTTGCATCTGTTAACTTGCAACAACCACCATCTTCATCAGCAGCGCCGGCGCATATTGAAACCTGCGACCGTGACTTGCCTGTCGAGTCTGTTAACTTGCAACAATCGGCATCGGAAGTGCCAGCAGAACAAATTTTACTTTTATGTGTAGTTTGCGGCAAAGAATGTACAGGAGCACATTCATGCTACTCGTGTGCACGAAATGTTCACGTACCTAATTTGTGGAATAACGTCATGTGATGAAGGTTACGGATCGCAGCTAATATGCTTTTTATGCAACAGCGAAAAAAACATTCAAGACCAAAGAGACAAAGCTGCCGAAAACTTAAGAAAATCCGCACAAAAAAGAAACCCCACTCATCACAGAAATTTCCTGACATTGACGTGGGATCTTCAGTTCTTATAGAGATACCAAAGATAGATCTTGGACCATTGGATCAAAAAAATGTATTAGGAAAAGTTTTAGAAAAGCGAAATGAGTCATAAAATTGGAACTTCAGTTGGTATCCTGAAAGATTGGTTATCCAGAAATGCAATACAGCTTTCAAACATTACTTTGAATGATCCTATACCAAATGAAAAGTCCTATACCAAATGAGAAATATGCCAAAAATAGTCGCGCTTTGGTAGCCAAGGTTATTTAAAATGTTCCTGTAAAAAATCGAATATACAGTGTTCTACCAAAAGATGTGCCTGTAAGAAGCATTCAGTGCTATGTAATTCTAGATGTCATGATTCCTCTTCTTGTCTGAACAAAAATTAAAAAATACTTTTAAAGAAACAAAGATCTCAACTTGTTGATAAGAAATAAAGATATCTCAAAATTGTTTGGCTTTAAAAGATTTTTAATGTTTGATTAGTTTTAATTGTATTGTTAATGTTTAAATTCCAAAAAATATGATCGTTTTAATTATAATTACTTTAATACGTGTTAATGTCACAAAGTATTGTAACTAACTGCAAGATACATAAAGTTGATTTATTAATAAAGATAAAAGCACTAAAATTTTGTTTTATTTAATTATTGTATATGGTAGATTTCTATTGCATTAAGTTTATCAAGTAATGGGTTTGTCTCAAAAAAGTGGCACACTTTTGAAATTTTTTCAATTTTTCAAAAATGAGAATAAATAAGCTTTATTATACTACAAGATGATACAATATGACTTTTGAGACAAACCCTAATATATTTATAACACAGAACTTAATCTAGTAATATAAGTATATCTCTAAACTTCGACGGTTTTATAACTATATTCCTAGCGAGATAGTAAAGAATCGCTTTCGTATAATTATGTTACGGTATATAATTATATCCCTAGGGATACAACTATATTACGGCTTTATCTATCTTACTGCGACATATGTGTACCGATTCATTACAGATCATTACAGTACTTACTAGAATTATGTTACGCTTTCATAAGTTATCTAAGACAAGGCTTTGAACAGCCTACGCAACGCAATCTAAATAAAATTAACAAAATAATAAAACATCAATAATTAATTTTCTTGGTTTCAATCATAAGATTTACGTACTTTATCCTTATACATACACAAGTTACAATGGGCCGATTGTTCGGAAGCGTTAATGCAAATATTTAAAAAATTATACAGCATTCACAACAATATATGCTAAATAAAACTTAAATTAATAAGATGATATGATACACCTTTGGAATTGTAAATATCCTGACAAAATATATTAAAATACAATTTAAAATATGCTACAAATTTTATGTTTGCAAACATCACAATTTGTTTTTTAAGTGGCTTGTTGCTTATTAACAAGCGATAGCCTTACAAAAAACTCTAGTGATAAAAACATTTACGCCACGTACTATGTAGTTTTGAGAAGCTTGCACTTTATATACTAAAAGGAAAGTTTTCGCAACTGTAGAGTACCAAAGAATAATGCGAAACGAGTTCAGTTCTAGTTCTGTTTGTGCTAATATCAATTATTCGTAATTTTCAGTTCACCAATTATTTTATACGTATTTCAACAATCCTAAACATGTAATTTTGCTTTATGGCTAGAACGATATAACGTCTGCAAGGTTGTGATAAAAAATTACAATAGGCCTTGAATTGTTTAATCTCCTACAACCCCTCCAGCTGCACTTCGCCTCCTGAAGCAATATTTATTTAATTTTAATCAAAAAAGATAGGTTAATATAGACAACCTCAAAAGAAATATATTCCTTATAATATAAGAGATGATTTCACAAGACACAAAAAGGTATTCTGCTTAAAAAATAAACATGAAACGGCAAATAAAATAAGTGAAATATACATGTAATTAAAGTCAAGTTTTGTAATATTATATATATATATATATATATATATATATATATATATATTCGTATTCGCTCTAGAATGGCAATACGAAAGTCAGGTAATTGCCTGACTCGCATTCAGTCGGCCACGCTCTCGCGTCGTGGCAATACTTCGCTACATCGCGTAAATCTTCTAGTTATTCGTGGCAAAAATGCCTTTCTGTGTTTTAGGTGGTGCACAAATTACACGGAAAACACACATAAAAGGTAGATATATGCTGTCGCGGACTTTTATTTCGAACTACTTAAGACAAACAATGCCACGGTATATTATCTTCGTGTAACTCCAACGGTTTAGGCAGCGCACGCCAAGATAGCTCTCAGAGGGCAGGAATTTTTCCGACTTACTTGATACTTATCATTATATTATGGCCAAATTACACAAAATCTTTATAAATTGTAACTTATGTATTATTCTGATGTATAAACTATATAACTGTAACATTTCATCTAAATCCGTTCAGTATTTTTTACGTGAAAGAGTAACAAACATGAATCCATCCATTTATACTTACAAACTTTCGCGTTTGTAATATTAGTAGGATGTTTATCAACCATTCTGTAGCTGTTTCTTTACAATTAAAACATGGTAACCGAGACGTGAGAGCATTAGAAACTCAAACTTGAATATTTTTCTAATGCTACGAATTACCTTATATTTTAGTTATTATTAATTATATCATTGTTTTAGAGCCGTGGTAGCTCAAATGGTTAGTGCTCGCTGTAAATTACACAGTACGCGAGCAAACGGGTTCGATTCCTGCCGGCACCAATGAAATTGTTAATTTCAATTTTAAGTGCTACTTTACCACGTGCTCGGCGGTGAAGGAAAACATCGTGAGGAAACCTGCACGTCTGAGAATTAAGAAAATAATATTTCGAAGACATGTGAATGCCAATTTGCCAACACGCCTTGGGGCAGCACGGCGGACAATTCCTTGCCCTAAAACCCTCTCAGAAATGAGCGGAGGCATGTGCCCAGGAATGGGACGTATAGATAGGCTGTAACTATATCATGGTTTCAGTTTCACTTGAAATGTACGTATCAAATGAACAAATGAATACCTACCTATCCGCCGCCATGAGAGCTTGGTGAGCATCCCGTTGTGCGGAAACTTGGACTAACTCAGCAACGGTGGCTGCTTGTTGCTCCGCTTTAAATAAAAATAAAATATTATAATATTAATGTTAAGTACGCTTTGTTTGTTTAAGTGGGCAAAGTCCAAAAGAAATCACGATATTTATGTAGTAGTATCAAGTTAGGAAGCTATAATATGCATTGTGAAAGTCACGGAATAATGCAAGTAAACTGAAAACGTACAATTAGTTTTTTTTACTTCCGCTATGAATTATTTTCAAAAATCGGGAAGTTATGGTTCCACCTCAGTTTTCGAAAATCCAGTTCTCATCAGATCTTCACGTTTTGAAGTCATGGGAAGCTATTCTAACCATTCCTACGAGGATGTCCCTTCGTATGTATGTGTGTGTGTGTGTGTGTGTGTGTGTGTGTGTGTGTGTGTGTGTGTGTGTGTGTGTGTGTGCGTGTGTGTACGTGTGCGTGTGCGTGCGCGAGCGCGTGCGAGTGCGAGTGCGCGCGCGCGTGCGTGTGTGTGTGTGTGTACAAAATAATGTACTTATATAAAAATATTGAGCCAAAAAAATTTTAGGTTTAAGGTAAGTAAACAGCGCCTGTGAAAATAATGAACATGAACATAATGAGTGAACCAGCTGTATTTACCAGACAGAGGTCTGCTCAGTCGTCGTTCAAGTCGCGCGAGTCTTCTTGCGCTGGGCTCATGGCACAGTGACTCGTGACGAAGTAGCTCATGACGGGAAGATTCACGGGCCCGTCTTTGAGCCACAAGTCGCGCCCACCTGGCCTCGAACCATAGCTGCATAGCGTCGCGCTCGTCTACATCCACTGGACCTGGGTTAGTGCGCCGATGAGATGTTAGGTGGGCAATGCGTTAGATTTTAATACAATAAGTATGCCGGTTAGGTACAATGAGATGTTAATAATGAACAAATATTAAGCAAGGTGCAATGACTTGACCAACCATCGGCGAAGTTATAGGTCAATTAATAACAAATTTTCAATAAAAAATAATATAAAACCAATGAATTATTTATTCAAACCACATGATTAAACTGCTTCTTGTATAATATTGCCTACACTGATCGTTAAAATTATTTGAAACAGATCTATATTTTTGTCAATTAATTCCTTTCTTGTATTGTCTAAATGACACTCAGTACATGAGATAATGTATGATATGTGATAACTTTGCTCGAAGTTATAAGAATATTACTTTTTATCAAATATAAAACAAATCTACACATAACAACATCGTTCTATCTCTACATCCATACATTGTAAAAGTATCGCTCGTTGACAGCGACAACTCGGCTACAGAATCGTATCAGTGCTTCGACCCATCTGTATATTGTACGAAGGCGAGCGATCTGCACTGGTAAACAAATGCGAAGCAACACGACCATTGCTAATGTAATTTTTAAGTTCCGCGAAACGAGATTTAGTCTAGGGAGCAGTGCGGCTGCAACTGGTTTTATTGTACGCATAGGACCGCGTGGACTTATATTTAGACAGAAGGCAACGCCTACGTATGGCTACTTTCCTCCAGACCGTCTGCGACCCGTGTTGCTCTATATCTATATTTAAGACATATTCTACAGAAGTACTTACGCCCCCAATCTGTGAATATATTTAAATATTAGTTCTAATTCTTTAAAAATCTGGTTTTTACTTTTTAATTAAAGAAATATCACTATCTCTTTGTCGTCTAAATAGTTTTCCTATTTGCCCCTCTTAGAGATTAACTTTTTTTTTCTTCACATTTGTAACGAATCAGCGCTAAAGCCGCCTCCTTTTATTGAAGTCTGCTAATGAAAATTACAAAACAACAGACCAAATAAGGAAAAATTTATTTTATTATATGAATTTCTTTAAAATATCATAAATGTTTATTTTTATCCGAATCAATTAATTATTGATTAGACTTCCTTTCACATCCAAATCCCTAAAGGCTTCATTACGCAACGCTAAAAGTATGCGACGCTCCAAAAATTATGTTGATATCGTACTGCAGTCTCAAATTTTACCGTTTAGAGGTATATAGATATATCTATGTATATGACCATAAGATGTGTCGTAATCTACCTAATGCGTTAAAGCTGAGTTGCATCCATTGATTGACCTCTCGGTCGAAGTTGGACTTACCTAATCGGACAATTATCCTAGGTACATTCTCGTCGACAACTTCCAACATTGTGCTCCCTACTACGACCGGCATATGTGTCATATAGACGTTACACATGACCTTTGTATTGTCATTTTCATTTTGGGACCTATCCATCGGGAGCTACTATTGAGGTCATTGAGCCTAGTATTCATGTATCGAAGGTGAGACATGTACCTTTTCATTGAGCAACACAGGAAGAAAGTAGCCATAGCCTTAATTTTCTATCCCAAACTGTCTGTCATTTTTGCGGGAAGAAATCTGTGTCACGCACACTTTTTCAGACTCTCACACAAAAATAATCGACAGTCACTTGGAAATTCACATGTTATAATAATTAAAATAATACACTAACAATTTCACACATACATAGGTACATTCTGTGTCATAACAGTGCAGTGTAATGAAGTGACTGAACTATATTGACAAATTGCATACAGCCGTGGCTGTAACAACTGTCGATACGCATTATCGGTGAAAAGTTATATTATAATAATGATAGGATACTGCAATATTTTTCCACCCAGCGACTTTCTTTTAATAAAAGATTTTTAGCTTGGTGCGTTTTAATATATTTTTTTTTGATAATACAGTGGTTGCTGCATTTTATCAAGAAAAAGTTTTGGTTTGGTGGAAATCGAATTAGAATTTTCAGATGTTTTCTTTGACTGAGCCTGAAAACAAATAGGCTATATTATTGTTACGAGCTTGAGGTTCGTGACAATAAAAATTGCCGATAGAATTACCTAAATTAACACTTTAATTCACTTTACACTAATTGAAGTTAAAAACACTAACAATTAATCACACTGATTCACTTTATTCCGCTCCGAAGCTTCGCTTGTGTCGCCAACTTCAATACTTCCCCGATCGCGTATTGCAACGCCTTTATATATTCGAGTAAATACGCGCGCCAACCAACCAAGCGCAGAAAGATCGAGTGTAGAGCTTCTAGAAAGTTTAGTTCTTCAATTTGATACTAGATGGCGCTGTCGGTTAAAAAAATTAGTCATGTCATTTTCTGGAAAGCTCTCTTCTCGCTATTGCCATGAGATGAGATGTCAACTTAGCCGCGCAACACTGCCCCCTCCTAAGACATGCTCGTCCCGAGCATTATCGGCCTCATAATAACGCGCCAGGCGATCCACATGGACGATCTTAGGAGTCCCTCTTGCACCTTTCTGTATCCGGTAGGTTATATCGTTGATCCTGTTCACAATCCGGTACGGGCCGTCCCATTTAGCTTGAAGCTTAGGAGATTTCCCTTTGCTGCGGACTGGATTATGCAACCACACTAGCGAACCTTCGTCGAACCCTTTGTTGTTCATTTTGCGGTCATACCGGGTTTTCATCTTTTCAGACATTTGCTGGCCCGATTGTCTGACGTGCTCGTAAATGTCATTCATTTTGTTCCGCAAGTCATTTGCATAATCGGTTATACTGCGTGGGGCATCAGGTGGTATACCGGTGATCAGGTCTGCAGGCAGCCGTAATTCTCTTCCAAAGTTTGCGAAAGCTGGTGTCACTGCTGTACTTTCGTGAACAGCGCTTCGATATGACAACAAAAACGGTTGTATGTGCTTGTCCACAACAATCGTTGCCGATTGTCTACAACTTTTGCTAGGTACCTCTCCAATGTCTGTTTAAATCGTTCTACCATTTCATCAGATTGCGGGTGATAAGAAGTCGTTCTTGTTTTATGAGTACCCATAACTCGGCAAGTTTCCTGGAATATTTGAGACTCAAAATTCCTTCCTTGATCGCTGTGAATCTCTAAAGGTACACCAAAACGACAGAAGACTTCATGAACTAGCTTATCAGCAACTGTTGAAGCTTCTTGATTTGGAATGGCGAAGACTTCTGGCCACTTAGTGAAGTAATCCATCACAACCATGAAATACTTGTTACCGCTTTCACTCTCCGGAAACGGTCCCGCCACGTCAATGGCTATTCTCTCCCACGGTGCACCAACATTGTACAACTTCAATGCACCTCTACTACGAGTTTGAGGTCCCTTTACAGCCGCACAACTTGTACATTTGCGACACCAGTCCTCGACATCGTTTCGACAGTGGACCCAGTAAAACCGTTCTCGGATCTTCAGTAGAGTTCGTTTAACTCCCAGATGGCCTCCTGAACAATCATTATGGTACAGCTGTAGAACATCCGGTACTTTAGCTTTAGGGACAACCATTTGCAAATGACAGCTGTCTCCCCGAACATTTTCCCATTTACGACACAGAACTCCATCCTGAAGCAGCAAGCTGTCCCACTGGGCCCAATAGCTTTTAGTGGTCGAACTCATCGCTGAGACGTCACTCCACTTGGGCTTGGGAGCGCTAGCCTTTATCCATTCCAGAATCGGCTTGATGTCCGGATCTTCCGGCTGTGCATGTAGTAAGCTGTCCTTCCACTCGTTGCTGAGGTGGTCTGCCCTGAGCATCCTCACGGATACCACTTCCTTACTCTCTTGCCTAAGTACAATGTTTGCAATCTTCAGGACAAGGTCTTCTTGACAATGCATCTGCGTTGCCATGAGATTTCTCGCTGCGATGTTCGATCTCAAAGTCGTATTCCTGCAGTAGTTCAATCCACCTCGCAACTTGTCCTTCTGGGTTTTTAAACTGTAATAGCCATTTTAGTGCAGCATGGTCAGTTCGTAAGTGAAATTTTCGTCCCAGAAGGTATTTGCTAAAATGTTGCAATGACTTTACCACAGCAATTCGCGTCTTGTGACACAATAGTTCCTTTCCGGTTTTGACAACGACTTGCTGAAGTACGCTATCACGACCTCTTTGTCACCATTCCGTTGAGACAACACACCGCCAAGTCCTATATCACTTGCGTCTGTGTCAACTATAAATTCTTTGCTTGCATCAGGGTATCCCAAAATAGGTGTTTTGCACAGACGGTCCTTGAGCTCCTGGAATGCGATATTGCAACTATCATCCCAGCAGAAATGTCGCTTCTCCTCGGTTAGCTTATGCAGAGGTTTGGCTATATCTGCAAAGTTCTTCACAAATCGCCGGTAATAGGAGCACAAACCCAAAAATGCTCTAACCAGCGTCTTGTCTTTTGGAACCGGCCAATCCTTTACAGCTGCGATTTTCTCTGGATCCGTGCGGATACCTTCTTCCGACACCACATACCCCAAAAAGTTGACTTGCCGTTTGAATAGTGAACATTTCTTCGGACTCAACTTGAGGTTGGCACTCTGAATCTTCATGAGCACGCGTTCCAGATTTTGAAGGTGTACCTCAAACGTACCCAATATATCATCCAAGTAGACCAGACAGGCATCGCCAATTAGCCCAGTAAGTACAAGCTCCATCAGCCTTTCAAACGTTGCTGGAGCATTGCACAAACCAAACGGCATTACTTTGAATTGCCACAGACCCTTTCCCGTCGAGAACGCAGTTTTCTCCTTGTCCTTAGGGTCTATTTCAACTTGCCAGTAGCCACTTTTTAGATCCAGCGTGCTAAACCATTTTACTCCTGTAAGCATGTCCAGCGTGTCATCAATTCTTGGCAAGGGATAGCTGTCCTTCTTTGTCGTTGAACGTCGTTCAGACGGCGGTAATCAACACGGAACCGCATGCTGCCATCCTTCTTCTTTACCAGCACCACGGGTGAACACCATGGACTAGATGAAGGTTCAATAACACCATCC